TTTTTTTTTTTTTTTTTCTGGGACTGGAGATTGAACTTGGGACCTTGCACTTGCCAGGCAGGCACTTAGGCCACTAAGCTATTTCCCTAGCTCCTGAGTTGTCTCTTTATTACAGCTTTTAAAGGTATTTTTTGTGTTTTATGGGTGAGAGTCTTTTGTTAAATACATTTATAACATAAATATCTTTACCTATACTATATTTGTCTTATCCTCTGAAATGAAAATAATTAATTCTCCAAAATTGAAAGGTAGAGTAAATGGGTATTAATGCAATTAGATTGGTCAAGGTTGTGAGAAACTGAGTTTCTTCTCTTTGAATTACCTCTTATTAGTCTACACAGTGAGTTCAAGGACAGCTGGAGCCACATAGTGAGACCTTGTCTCAAAGAAAGAATGAACGAAATAATGAAAGAAAGGAAGGAAGAAAGGGCAGAAGGAAGGGCCGGCCAAATAGATCAGCTGATTAAAGCCCCTGAAAGCAGGCGCAGGGGCTGGGGGTTTGATCCCCGGTCCTGCTATGCCGGCCCTGCCCCGGGGTGTACTGAGACTGAACTTGAGACTAGGTGTGGTGGCACGCACCTGTAATCCCAGCCCTTGGGAGGCTGTAAACAGGCAGATCATTACGGGTCTGATCCAGTAGTGAGACCCTGAACACCCTGTAGACCCTTCCCTAAAATGAAAAAATTTAATAAAAAGAAAGAGAAAAGAAAAAATTGTGTTTTTTCTTCATATAGTAAAGTACAGATAGTGTTGTAACCTACCACACAATTTCAGGGAGCAGAAATTTTGTACATTTTGTACATTAGCTTATTTTTAAAAGACCTATCACATATTTATTCTTAACAAGTATTGACCAGCTTTAGTATTGTTTTCAAAAGCTTTTATTGATTCACCAATAATTCTTTCATGTAGCTCCAGCTTTTCTACTGCTTGAGTCTAACAACCTTTATGTCTATTTATCGTATAGTCTAGTAAAAGTTCTTTTGTTGAAAAGAAATCATTAAAATTGGCACATTTTCTCAATAGAAAATTCAATACACATCAAGGACAGGAAACTAAGTGCACTTAGTTCTATGTGGATTATAATTAATAAATTAGGAAGCAGGAATTTCCCATATTTCTTATCAACAACAGCACAATCTCCTGTGCCTAATTTCCTCAAAGTAGCAACTTTTCCTGCTTCTGTATAGGTGACACTCTGGCCTTTTGATGCAAGATGTCACTATTAGTTTCTGTGTTTTTAGAGGAAATTTTAAGAGAGAATCTTGAGCTACTGGCCAGCTAGCGACTTGCCTCTTCCTTCCTCTGTTCCAATCACCCACAGCTTATTTTAAGTCCTAGGCTTACTCAGAAGGAACAATGGGCAGAACACAAGCAAAGGTGGGCTTGTAGGCAAATTGACTGACCTGCTCACTACGTCCACATTACTCATTTTCTTTCCAGTGGTACTGTTCCTTTTGAGCTTGACTGGCTTATCATTTCCTAGACTGAGTCCTTCTAGACCTTTTCTAACCAACAGATTCACTAGACTTGGAGACATTTTCATGGGTTATTCCCCTTTACTGGTACTTGGCTATCATACATAGTGCTTAGTGTCACCTTTATTTCCCACGTTTCAACTTTCTGTCTGTTCAGTCTTTATGAATTTTTCTGGAAATTTTTCAAAGGATTGCATAAAAATGAAAGTTACTGAATATTAAAATTATCCCTACAAAGAAATCTTTTATTCTAAATAGTCTGTAAGAAATACTTAGGAGTACTTAAAGACTGATTAATCTCAACCGTGGAGAGATACTAATGCTTTAAGTACAGTGAAATTATTTGTTTCTGTGATTCTGGCTCAAATGTACTAACTTCTGGGGGTTTTGTTCAGTTTTGTTTTTTGGTGCTGAAGATTGAAGCCAGGCGAGGCAAGTGCTCCTACCCATGAGCTACATACAAAGTTTTTCTTTTTAAGTTTAAATATTTGGTAATAGTTTTTAGAATTCTAAGGGGGCTCCAGATTCAGAAGCTTATGATTTGGATAAATGATGCATCATGCAATTGAGAAGCTCACTGTCAAGTTAAAACTTTTGGAGGGATAAGATGGGAAATTCTCTTAAGTGATATTAGAGTTATTGGTGTCTGCAGAAGACCCTGCTCCTCATGTTTTATGAGGAGTCGTATTATAAATTAAAATGCTGGCTTTAGGGTTAGAGACTCTGTGTGCTTTATTTTATGATTATATTATATGTTTCAAAAACAAGTGTCTAATATAAGTAACTCTTACTAATGTATTATCATTTTGCACTATCAGAGGATAGCAAGTTAATTTGATGTGTTGTACCCCACACCTTCTAAAAGATATATTGAATAAAAAATCTGTTACTTTTATCTGCTTAAATATTTTTGTTAGTCTTTATTAAATATATATTTCAAATGAATTTTTATTTATGTGTTAAAGCAGTTATATTTTCATTGGCATAATAGGCAAAAATATTTTTAAGTTTTTTCATTTCTCTTTCTTCTTTTTAGGGTAGAGCCTGGATCAGAGTAGCACTCATGGAGAAACACTTGTCTGAATACATTTCTACAGCTCTGAGAGACTTCAAAACAACCAGGTTTAAAAAATCTTTAATTTTCTTTTTTTTCTCCTTTTTTAATTAATTTTATTGAGAAATAGCAGTGAGACAGTTTCAAAACCAATTAGTAGGACAGTTTTAGTAATTAATATATTACATATTGTTGTCTTCATAGTGGTTGTTCATAGTACAAGATGCAGACATGGTATCCTGTCCAAACACTATTACTACAGTTTTCTAATAATTTATTTGAAAGAATCACCTAAAGAATTAGAAATAAAAATAGAGTTCAGTTATTTAGTTTCTAAAACATTGAATTATTTTATTTCCTCCTTTTTTTACTTCTAAGATAAGGTCATTGTGTTCTAAACATATATTTGCCACGTTTATGTAAAATACATATACATTGTACCTGGAATATCCTTTTTCTGAATATTTTGATTCTCATTCTTTCAACAATTGAATATTCATTCTCTCTATAAGCTTTTTCCTGACTGATTTGATGAATGATCTGTGAAATTCTTATATTTCTTCTCTCTTTTTATACTATAGTTTTTCCTTATTTCTTTATTTATAGAGAATGTAATTTAGTAATGTAGCATTTTATTTGTGTGGTACTGGGGATTAAACCTAGAGTCTTTCACTGAGCTACATCCCAGCCCTTTTTATATTATATTTTGAAATAGTTTTGCTAAGTTGCCCAGGCTAGTAGCTGTTTACTTCTCAAATTCATGCATCTCTGTGTGTGTGTGTGTGTGTGTGTGTGTGAGAGAGAGAGAGAGAGAGAGAGAGACAGAAAGAGAGAGAGACAGAGAGACAGAGAGACAGAGAGACAGAGAGAGAGAGAGAGATTGCTTGACTCTGTGTGCTTGACTCTGTGTGTGTTTATTTATTTATTTTTTGTGGTACTGGGGATCAAACTTAGGACCTTGCATTTACCAGGCAGACACTTATGCTGCTGAGCTATTTCTCCAGCCCTGTGTTTTTGTTTTTGTGTTTTTTTTTTTTTTTTTTCAGAACCGGGGATTGAACTCAGGCCCTTGCGCTTGCCAGGCAAGTGCTTATTCTACTGAGCCATCTCCCTGGCCCCACAGCCCTATGTTTTTAGGGCAGCCTATAACAATGATTTTTTTTTGAATTATGTATATTTAAGGGATAATATACTGCAGCCACGTAAAAAAATGGGACCTTACTAACTTTTTATGATGGTAGAAAAGAAGGTCCATTCCAGACATCAGTTATTCTTATTGAACTCTGTTTTGCTGGTCATATCTGTTCTTGAAGAAACCACATTTTTTTTTAATGTATTTAGTACTGAGTCTACAGGGTCTGACTATGTAGATCAGACTCATAGTGATCCTCCTGTTTTCAGCCCCCCCAAGCACTGGGATTACAGGTGTGTGTCACCATGCCCAGTCTCATTCACTGTCTTAGCACATCCCAGGGGCAGGGCTGGCATAGCATGTTGGGGATCGAACCTTGGTCCCTGTGTCTGCCTATGCAGAGCTATCCGCTGAGCTATCTGGCCAGCCCTAAGAAACTACTCTTTTCCATTACAAAAGTAGTTATTCATGAAAATATTTAATGATTTCATTACCTTAGAATGAAACACCACTAACTACAAGCCAACTATAAGCCATAAAATTCCAAATTTGGTTCTTTACTGTGTCATATATTAGATGCTCAGTAGCCACATGTGGTTAATAGGTAGCACAGATGCAGAATATTTTCTTTTTCACAAAAAGTTCTGTGGACAGCATGACTTTAGATGCTTATAAATTGCCATACTTATTTCTACCTCAGTAGTCATATTAGTGAAAAAGAAGACTAGCCAGTAACAACTGTAAATCAGTTTTGATACAGAAACTTAAGCAACAAGAATTTATATTTCTGCAACCTCAATTTTCATGTCTTGATACTTTTTAATATACTAGATTTTAAGAAAAACCTAGACAGGGTTATTATGCCATAGTCTTTTAGCTAACTAGCTGGTAAAAATTCCAGTATTTTAATTATATACTTCTATTTTGTAAGTAATAAAATAACAAGCTTAATTTGGGAGATATAAAGAAAAATGACCATGCTTATAAATTTGTCCAGGATAGAAAGACTTTTCATTAAAAAATTTGCATTTGTTATATATATGCATGTATAGATTGCATTATTTTCTAACAGAAGTATGCTCAGAATATTTTTAAAGGTGGATACATTTCTGCATTTATTACTTCTAGTAAATGAGCTTAATTATGAAAATAAATGGTAAGAATACTAAAGCTTCCAAAATAGAAATAGAGCATAATAATGGATTCTAGTAGCTGAAACCTAAAAATCCTAAACTAAGGAAATGAAAACTAAGTTTATGCAATAAGCATCTCTTATTGCATCCTTTCTACATTGAAATTAGAATATTAATAATCTTTATAAATTTTAGGCTTATTAAAGTTGAAATGATTGGGTAGGGTAGAATAATTCTTGAATAGATTGTTTATAGATTAAGTAGTTTAAATATTAAAAGTAAATTGTTGACTTGTTCATAGGTATAACATGCTTTTTGATAAAAAGGAAATGATTCAGCTCTTAAAAGTCTATGAAGTAAAAATATTCTTGTAATAATACATAAATATACTCTAAAAATGATCTTAGGATATATGTGCAGATACATATACACACACCTAAACACATTTATGTGAATAACAATATGTATATATGAGTATAATGGTTTTGTAAAACCCAAGAAAAGAAGTATATAGGTAGCTATTTTAGAATTCTCATCTTAGAAATAAAAATCTAAAAAATCAGAAGGCCTTTTACTAATTATAATATTTTACTGAAATAAGCAAATAAACTTTAAATAAATAAATTTGAGGGAAAATCTCTAAGTAAACAAATATATTTAAAAAATTAAATTTGTGAACTATAAGGAAATTAGACTTGTATCTTACCTTTCATATGGATGTTTCCTGAGACAAGTGCTTCTAATAGGAGGAGTTAGCTCTAATTTTTTAGGAATCTTGAGAGTATCTGAATCAACTGGAATTCTTCTTCTTCGGGCTGACTTCACAGACAAAGAGTAATGATATCCTTTAAAATAGTTGTACAAGTATTTATGCTAGTATAGGAGGAGCAGTTATATGAGCTAAGACAGGCAACTTTGAAGACACTAAGCAGTGAAAGTCCAAGGATAAGTCTGGGAGAAGGAGTGGAGGGGAACATAAATGCAAGTAGCTGCAAGGATTAAAGGTTTTAATGTGATCTGTTTGCTAAGGTGGAAAATGTCCTAGAGAACAACTGAAAAAAAAAGCCATCTTGAGTTTCATGGTTAAGAGATCAGATATTATTGGAAATTAGATTACTGGAGATGAGTAGTTGGAAGAGTGAAGATTAGAGTATAAATATTGAAAAGAAAAAAAAAGGGGAGAGTTGCTTTGGTCTGTTCTTGAGAAGATTTGCAAATGAGAATAAAGTAAGAATTGAGTTAATTTGCTCAAAGTTTTAATTTGTCTCTACCCACAGACAGGAAAATAATTAGAATTAGAAAAGTTAAACTAAAAAATTTCAAATGTGATATTAGAAACAATATTGGAAATATTTCAGTAAGAACTTGAAATAACAGATAAGGAAAATATGAAGATAAGATTATCTTTATGGAATACCATATATTAGTTTATAATTATAGCATAGAATTAATTATAATGACAGTTGCATTCTAAAGAAATCTTAACTTTCACAATATCTTAAGATGAAAATATATATGAAATAAAACTCTGTAAACCACTGAGCTGTCACAAAAAGATAATAGGATTTGATGAACAATTTGCTCAGTTTTAGAAAAGTAAATAGACTAGTCAATAATAGGTTACCACAATCTTTATAGAGTCAAGAAAGAGTTTTGAAATCTGGATGTACTTAAAGGTTTTACATTAATGTAGTCCTCTTGTGTCCAAGGATTTGTTTTCCACAGTTCCAGTTACCCACCATCTGAAAATACTGAAAAAATTTTGCAAGTAAACAAATCACAAGTGTCAAGTCACTTTTGTTATGGTTCTGTTGTTAATAATTGTTCTATTTTATTGTTGTTCTCTTACTGTCTTAATTTTTAGGTTAAACTGTATCATAAGTACATAGTATGAGGGCCAGCCAAATGGTTCAGTGGATTAAAGTGCCTACAAGCAGGCGCAGGGGCCAGGGGTTCAATCCCCTGGCCTGCCATGCCAGCCCTGTCCTGGGGGTGGGTGGGGGCGGGGTGCGCTGAGACAGAAATTGAGACTGGGAATGGTGGTTGCGCCCCTGTAATCCCAGCACTTGGGAGGGTATAACAGGAGAATCACTACAAGTCCAATCTAGTAATGAGACCCTGAAAGCTCTGTAGACCCTTCCCTAAAATAAAAAAAAGTACATAGTATAGGAAAATACAGAATATATACATTTGCTCTTTGGCTTACAGTGTGGGGTATATCCCAGTAAACCTATGGTGACTTGAAAATGTAAGTAAAAAAATGCATTTAATATACCTAACTTATCAAACATTATAATTTAGCCTAGCTTACCTTAACATTCTTAGAACACTAGGCTTCATTTGGGCAAAACCTTTAACACAAAATGTTTTATAATAGTAATCATGTGATTGCATGGCTGCCTAGGAGCTGCCGCTTGCTGCTGCTGCCTAGCATCACACAGAGTGTTGTACTACATATTGCTATCCCAGGAACTCAAGCTGTGATATAAAGTATCTACCAAACACGTATTGCTTCCTCAGAATCATTACATACAAAAGAAGCAGAAGTTTAACCAATCCTTACTAGGAGGCTTTCTATAAAGTTTTCTATTACCCAGTTTCAAATGCCTGCTGAGGATCTTGGAACATACCTCATGAATAAGGGAAGGCTACTATGTTCATACGAAAAAATAACATTATTAAAAGTTGCTTTTAGGGCTGGCCAAATAGCTCAGAGGATTAAAGTTCCTGCAAGCAGGTGCAGGGTCCAGGTGATTGATTCCCGGGCCTGCAGTGCTGGCCCCACTCCCGGGGCACACTGAGA